TATATATATATATATATTTAACAGCTATGATTGAATTATTCTTAGTTAAAACACTTGAATGTAAAGACTTTAGAAAAAAATATTTTATTTTCTTTCCTTTTTCTCTTAGAATTTAACTTAGTAAAATGTTAAATATTTATCCGTGATCTCATTCTATTGGAATTTCTGTAGTTATTTCACGTAAAAGATTATAACTATGAGAAACAGGTCTTGTAGTCTCACCAAAACCTACCTCCATTTAATTCACGAGGGTTTTTCAGCAAGCTAACATTTAATTATTCTAAATATACCACAGACTCAAGAACTTGTTTGCTATATTGACCTACCGTGCCCTAATTAAAAAAAAAAAAAATTTCCTACGTCAATCATTGATTAGAAATCAGAATAATCAATTGTACATGTTCTGGACGAAATATGTCAAAATGAATAATCAATAATCCATCTTCGCAAAATATAATATATTACGACAATATTAAACAATAAGAAATGAGAGACACTTCATATAGGCAAACACCAAATAATACTATAACGATTTTGCAATTTTTGTTAAGGATGAATCAAACATCATATATCATATTTATTTTTATTAAAGAAATGTCATTTTCATGAAAAAGGAACCATTTGTCATTGCACTTCAATTGTATCTAATTAATTTCATGGTTGCAACGATGTAGTCATGGCGAAAGCGAAATCACAACGGCCGGCCCGAATCTATGAGACTAATCCAGAGATTAATCCCATAACTCTATTAATTAACAAAATATTCATAATTAATCACCACTTATTGCTGACTTCTTGATAATTAGCTTTACAATCATTTTCGTTTGATCAGATCAACAATAACATGCTGATTAATGTTAATAAGTTCTTGAGTAATGCAAACATACATTTTATTATCGAGGAAATTCACAAGAATAAGATTCATGTCGAATTTCACTTGATAATAAAGAGCAGAGTGAAAGAATGTGACAAATTACTATAGGTTGCTAGTAGAATTTGTCATTAATACAAACTTTCCTACAACATTTCAGAAAAGAAAAAATAAATCAATTGCCAAGCTGTGAATCAAAAAATATCTATCATCCTATGTATTATATATTCTTTCCTTTTCTTTTTCAAACAAAGCATGTATTTCCATTTTCTAAGCATTGCCAATTTTCATTTCCATGGATATAATAGTATTAGGCTTAAAATGTCAATTTTAATGTTTATTCTCAAGTATACGAAATTGCTTCAAGAACCAAACTATAATTTATAAAATAAAAGTACAAGTAAAATTTTCTGCTACATCACACAAACAAAGAAATAGTAAAAGCAAATATATCATAAATGATAAATTAATAAAATCATTATTTAATAATGTACTAATGGACAAAGATGATTGTCAAACAAAGAAAAAGTTCTCGAATATTCTTAGTTTTTTTAATTAAGATAGGTTTACTTTAACACTATATGTAAGGGTAAAAGAAGATTATTTTGAATTTGGAAGGCAAATAAAGATCCACCCCAAAAACTCTCAAGTGCTGAGAAATTTTTTGATGGAAGATATTGTAGAGTCTTGTTCAAAAACTCTTACAAGCCAGTCATCTGTATTTGTAAATTCTTAGTTAATTATAGCATAACATACGTCATTGAACATTCAATCTTACCAACAAGTTAATTAAAATAAATTTAGTTTGAAAAAAAAAACTATAGAACTTAAACAAACTACGAATCTAGAATATATGATACTTGAGAATCTCTTCATTAAGAAATCTTGCCAACACCAAATCCAAGTTCACGAAGGATGAATTAGAGAGAGCCACGTCCTCACGAAATCAACAAGCATATACCATAAACTTCGAAGTTATAAAGCAAGTTAGATAACTATGGGTGGTTGACTAATCATTGTTGTGTCTTTATGCAGAATGCATTAATTCATTAAATAAACACACTTCATTGTGAGCTTTGGAAATTCCGTTGTTAATCACAACACACCAGATTGATAAGAAGCACAATGAGATTATTCGAATCTTGAAGGAATAACCGCAGTTAATTATCATCTCTCATTGTGTAATAATAAACATCTGCCTCGGGTTTACCTGTTTATGTTATTTGAAAGAGAAATGTTGTATCCCCTTGAAAATCTTTCTACAATTTTTTTCACAACCTTATAAAGAAATTAAATAAGATAAATAAATGTATTTACCTCTTAGAAATATAAATTGCATCCAACACTTATACTTACCATACAAAAGAAAGTAAAAATAAGACTCTTGTTTCAATAATTTATATTCAGTATTAATTTATATTAATATTAAAATAATGTTTGGTCAGTAGAA